GGCTGGGGGCTGGGGGGAGGAGGGGTTGCTGGCCCCAGGAATTCTCCTGAGGGCCAGGGTCTGTTTGTAAGCCTTCAGACAACATTGCTTGTATTTTAAGTGCACAAGGATTTCTCATTCAGAGTCATTTGACATGCAGATAATCACAGATTTTTAAAGGCTGTTGTCATGGTTTTGTCTCTGAAAGATGGCTATGTGCTGATGAGAGCCTTGAAGCCAGCTCTGGGACCTCAGTCCTGGTGGCCTTGGGATTCAGAAGGAGATAAGAGAAGCAATTCTGAGACTTGTCTGTCAGTGGTCCTTGGCCTTCCTGTCTGGATTCAGTTAACCATTTAGCCCCACTGTTCTTTTCTTTTTTCTTTTTCTTTTTTTTTTCTAAACCATTCTTCATCTGAGATGGTTTCACATGGAACACGGGTGGCAAAATCAGTTGATATTTTTCTGAATGTGATCTTTTCTGGAGGGTTAGCGGTGGGGCAGAGAATTGATCTGCCTTTCTGTGGTCAACTTAGATGAAGGGCTAGGGATCCAATCAGTTACATCCCGAGCATCATGTTAGAGAAGGCAGTGCTTTATGCCCCCCCACAAGGAAGTGTCAACGGTGGGATTTCAGGCTGGGCAGCACATATAAGGGTGAGGGATCGGTCTGGTGGGAGAGAGACAGCAGTGAAAAGTGGAGGGCGAGGGAGACCCTTTAAGACACGTATCGCCGGGGTGTGAGGCTGGCCCCAGGGAACACTTTGGCACATGCAGCCGGGCGTCTTCCATCACCACCTGATTTGTCTGGGAGCCTGAGAGCCTGACTTACTGTTGCCCTTGGGGCCACACGGCATAGCAGTTCCTTCTCACCACACTGCATTTCACTCCTGTTTGCGATGGGTTTCACCGCAGTGGGCGGTGTGGAGGTGGTTCTTGTTTAGTTTTGCGTTGTTTTGATTAGGGCTTCCATCCAGAGGAGGCGAACTGGATACTCTGAACCAAACACAGAGACCACCTCTGATAGGAAATTGGAGCTCCCTGAAATGTAGGCAGCCCGGTTGGAGGGATTTGGAAGAGGTTGCTTCACGCTGTGGATTTAGCGAGGCCTCCTGGCAGCAGGCCCACCGAGGGTGGAAGGATGGAGCCCGTCGGGGGTCTGCGGTTTGCGGGGGAGCTTGTCCTTCCACCGTCTGACATTTTGGCGACTTGATTTATTGGCCTGAGCCTCATGCGGTCTCTTTTCCTTTGCAGACAGAGATTGCGAAGAGACTGAACACGATTTTAGCACAGATCATGCCTTTCCTGTCACAAGAGGTAAGCCCTTCTTTTACTGTGCCCTCCGTTTCTTGCAGAGCAGCCCAGTGGCTGCCTAGGTCTCACCGGAGCCCCAGCCCCTGTCCGTTCACGTGGACTGAAGTTGACAGCCTGGGGCTTTACAGAAGCCCCTCTGGCACATCAGAGGGGCCACTTGCTCCTTCAGTGGAACCTGTTCTCTGCCCTTGCCTGAGCCCCGAGAGGAGGGTCCTGGCCTGTGGAGGGGCTAACAGTGGGCAGTGGGTACCGCTGTGCCTCCCCCCGCACCCCCGGCCCTACCCCATCCCAACCCGCATTCCCAGCCTCTGCTTCCCCGTGCCCCAGCTTCCACACCTGGAGACATCTAAGAGCAAGGAAGCCTGGCCAGTTAGCACCGAGGGCCAGACCCTGCAAGGAGAACCACTACCCAAAGGGGACCCCGGCCCCCGGGACAGAGTGTCCTCATCAGAGGCATGACCAAGTCAGTCACATCATCTTCTAAGCACACTTTTGCAAGAGACTCCCGCTTGAGGCAGGGCTGGACCAGTGGGCAGTAGGAGAAAAGCATCTCCAAGGAGGCCCCGTGGTGTAGGGCAGATGGGTGGGCTGCCCGAGAGGGGCCCCTTTCCATCCAGCAGAGCTCACTCCAGCCTGGGGCAGGCCTGCCCTCCAGGCCCCCGTCAGTGGCTTAGACCACCCTCGCTCCCTCCGGGATTCCTGGGTCTCTGAGTCACAGTAGTGACCCATACATGATTGAATTCATGTAAAAACAGGTTATGATGATGTCCTAGGAGCTTGCAACCCATTAGGGGAGACAGCTGCCTATGAAGCCGTTTCACCTCGAGGCTGAAGGGAATGAATGCGCTAAAAGAAAAAAGGATTTTTTAAACAGACTCTATTTTTTATAGTTTGAGATTCACAGCAAAACTGAGTGGAAGGTACAGAGATGTCCCCTAGCCTTCCCCACCATCAACATCCCACACCAGAGTAACTGATGAACCTACATCGACACATCACCCAATTCCCAGCTTATAACATTGTGCCATTTTTTTGTTGCTGTTCGTTTTCTATTGAGATAGATACAGGTTGAGTATCTGTAGATACACGTACTTTTCCTCTGAACCCTTTGGGTGTGAGTTGCAGACATCCTGACAACTCACAGCACTCACTGCTCCAGCTGCCTCTCCTAACAGGACACCCTTCTACGTGACTGCACTATTGTCACCACATTTAGAAAATGAATAATCATTCAGTAGCATCTTCTAATATCCAGCCTGGATGTTAGTTTGGGGCTTTATGCCCGGAAGGAAGTTTTTTTGTCTCAGATGCCTGGAAGGAAGTTTTTTTGTCTGTGCGGCGGAGGGAGATGGTCGACAAATAGCCCTATTTTGGCTCTTTTGTATTTTAACTTAAAACTCTGGCAAGTGTGGATTACAGAAGTCATAGGCACGCATTGAGAAGGGTATAAAGGGTCCCCCGTCCTCCCTGTGTCCTGCTTTGGTCAGTGGACCTCCTCTGCCTCCTGTGTCACCACCTGTCCCCTACCCCCGTGCCTCCGTGGTTGGTCGAGGAAGGCGGCCGCCTCTAACACAAACCTGGTTCCTCCAGCACCAGCAGCAGGTGGCGCAGGCGGTGGAGCGAGCCAAGCAGGTCACCATGACGGAGCTGAACGCCATCATCGGGGTACGTGGACTCCCCAATCTGCCTCTCACCGTGTGTATAGCCCTTTTATTCCTCTCATTTACCATAACCAGAGATGGACCCTGACCTTAGCTGGCCTCAAAGAATGGCAGCCCCAGGGCTCCAGCCTCTCCCAGCATCTCATGGGCTTGGACCCGCCTAGAGATCTCCCCCTGTGGCTCCCTGGTTGCCTCTCACTCCCCAAGTTAAAGCAGTGCCCAACACTACCCGATCCACCTCGAAATTCATCAGCCCCATCCTTTCCCGGCTTTCGGTGTCTCCAACATTGAGGGTGGGGGGGGGGGGGACTCTGGGATCACCTTGGAGGCCAACCTGATTTCTCCCACCTCCCCAGGGGCCTGTCCCCTCACTGGCAAAGGTCTACCCTTCTTTGGCCACCTGGGATCAGAACTGTCTCTGCTGTACTGTGATGTGAAACGTGCTGTGGCATTTGGGTCTGGGCCTTGCTGTCCCATGCGCTGAGCTGCCTGGCGGAGTCTTCATCATGGGCCCATGTCAAGTCCAGGCAGGGCCCCTGGCTAGGTCTCCCTGATGTTCTAGAAGTCCCGTCTCACCCGGGAACAGGAAAAGATAATGCAGAGAGTGCTTCATGAGGCCCCCACTTCTGGTCCGGCCCCTCAGTGAAAGGAGCAAGCCAGATCTCTCCCCTTTAGTGTTTCTACCTGGCTCACATCTTTAGTGCATTTCTGGGATTCACACAGCATCTTTCTCCTGCTTGCTGCTTTGGTATGAGGCTGCTAAAGGATATTTAAGACAGGCATCTGAGGAGAAACAGGTTTTTTAAGGGGACTTCGGGCAAGGCTCTTAGCCTCAGGATGCACCTGTCCACCTTTGGTCCCTAAAATGAACACGGTGGGTGAGATCACTGCTTCCCATCCACAGATGGCTGAGTCCAGGTCCCCAACGGAGCTTCTGAGCAATAAATTCTAGGGCACTCACCCCAGAGTTCTTTTCCATAGGTTCGGGGTGGACCCGGAAATCTGTGTTTTTGAAGTTTTCTGGATCATTCGGAAGGATAGTCAGGCTTGGGAAGCAGTGGACTGGTTGGCTGAGGTCCCTCTAGCCCTCTGCTTGGTCCTCATTCCTCCTCTTGTTCTTAAGTACGGTCATTATTTCAAGGTGGAACTGAAGGCCTAGAATGTTCTGCTTGGTGCGATGAATGGTGATGACTCTGGGCTCTTCATTCTGGGGCAGAAACCTGGAGACCTGTGTTCTAGTTAAGCCTCTGCCCCATGTGACCTCAGGCAGTCCCATCTCTTCCTCGGGCCTTAGTTTCTGCATCTGTTACAGGAGGGGGTAGACCAGCTCATCTCTTTGGGCCAGGAAT